ACTCCACACACACGCACATGCACACGCACACGCACACGCACACGCACACACACGCACCCACACACACACACACGCACGCACGCACGCGCACGCACGCACGCACGCACGCGCGCACGATCGCACACAGCAGTATTGTACCTGCGCGGGTCACGTTAAGTTTGCACCACTCCGACCAGAGGCAATCACATGGGGAAACAACAACGCACTTTCACATTGACACGCACACATCCTCTCACACAACACATTCACACACTTCCGCTCACATTCACACACGTTCACACATATACACATACACACATTTGTTGGCGGTGACGCCCTCGCTCGCAGCGACGAGGCGGAGTAAGCCGAAACACGTCGCGCGCGGCGGCCGAGCCTCAAGCATCACTTATGATCCAGAACCTGCTGACATCAGCCATCCGGGCGTGGATGGCGGGGAGATTACACGCCTTACCGTGGGCAAGGCTCACATGGCGGCAATGAAAACGGAGGACAGCACGAGCGCATCCGGGCGTGGATGGCAGGGGGGGTGCACGCAGACCGAGAGACCTGCCCACTCGGCGAGCGTGTGTCAGATCCTTGAAAACACACGCGCACACTCACACACGCGCGCGCACAAGCGCACACTCGCACACAACACATTCACACATACATGCACGTTCACACACAGCCTAGCACACAGCACGCAATCCACAACACATCACACAGTACACAACACAACACACAACACAACACACAACGCACACAACACACACACAACACAACACACAACACAACACACAACACACAAAACACACGACACACAACACACAACACACAACGAACAACACCCAACACACAACACATACCGCACCACACACAACACACAACACACACAACACACAGACACAGACACACAGACACACCACACACACACACACGCAAAAAAACGCGATCGCATCGGGGGCCCCCGCAGGCGCGTTCGATCGGCTCGCTCCTTGAGCTGAACATGGCCTTCCTGCCCAGGGACGACAGGGCGTTCCACCTCGGCGACTCCGGACGTCGGGGGCGTGTTGGTGCGATCGAAGTGGGTACGGAACGAATGGCGACGAAGACCGACAGCAGTTCCCACATGGGGTCCATGATCGGGAAAAATAGTTCCACAGCGTTCTGGAACGCTCTGAGAAGGCCGTGGCGCCCGATACATCCTCCATGCGCGCCGGCTCCCAGAGATTCCCAAAGCATCCCGATTCCATTTCTCCGCGATTTTGCCTTCGCTTTAGTTCCTGACTATTTCGAACAGGACTCGCTGTTTGTTTTGCCGCGGAAGTATGTTGGCTCGCCTGCCCAACAGCAACCGCTGTCGGTTTTCGGCAACGTTTGCTGTTGGCAATCGTACCGAATTTTCCGTTCCCGTTTTGGGCGTACTAAGGTGTGGGTGGGAATTGGTGGTTGGTTGTTGTGGTTTTATTCGCTATCCCTCTTCGGCCAGGGGCGGTTGAGCTGGCGCGGAGTTCAGATGAGCGCCCCACGGCATGGCACTGCGAGCACCCTGGCTCGGCGGCGCGACCAGGGGGGAAGTGAGAAGGGGCAGACCTTATCGGAAGACGGCAGGGCTTCTCAGAAGACCTCCGGCCTTGTGGGAAGCCGTCTATGTTTTTGGAGAAAGCTTAGAGCATTTCTCAGAAGGCCAGAGGCCTTCGAGCCATTTGTGAAGGCCTGGCCCTTCTGCATTCCCCATCATTCCCCCTCGGGTTCGCCGCAGATTGGCAACGGGCAGGATGCCGCGTCGCATGTCGTCCAGATGTTCAGTGGCATGACCCACCGTATTTGCAGAAGCAGCGAGGCCAGCGAGTACAACCTGTCCCAGTCCTCCCTCCGCTCCCCTCGTGGCAGCGCTGGTGGCATCGAGGTTGGGTGGCGAGCGCTGCCTTCCTCCCCCCCCCGGGCCCCATATTGTGGCCTTCGCCACTGCTGGGGGACGATCCTCCAGGGAGCGGGCATTCCTGAAGGGGGAGGAGAACGACGCGCCCCTCAATAATTACACATTCTGAGTACTACTCTCCTCTCTTCTCCTCCTCCTCCTCCTGCTCCTCCCCTGACTCTGCCCAGAAGATGTTTTGCACTCTCCGCGTGTTCTTTTTTCCACACCCGAATTCAAGAGTGGTATTTCCTACAGTGCTTTTACCTCCCAGTCGTCGTCGGTCCTTCAAAAAGGTGCGGCCGCTTCAGCATGGGCCTCATTTGAGGATCGGCGCTTGCTCCCGTCTTTCATCTCGCCCCAGCGCGGGCCATTTTTCTGGATCCGAGTCGTCTCTTTTCGTTGTCACCTCTCCCTTTTCTCTTCGTCCTCTGGTCATCCTGCTCCTGGTGCTGCTGTTCCTCCTCGTCCTCCTCCGCCTCCTCCTTCCTCATCCTCTGTTTCCTCGTCCTCGTCCTCCCCCTCCTCCTCCTCCTCCTCCTCCTCCTCCTCCTCCTCCTCCAATGCACGCAATTCGTTGTTTTTTCCGATTGTGCATAGCACGATGGATCCCTCTTGAAGTGTCAGGTCCGTTGTGACACGCGTCTGCGGATAGAGAAAACATCAGCGCAATGGGAAGGGATGAGTGCGAGGGGTAGCATGTCAGTGAAATAATCAATATGTTTATGTGCACTTTCTGGTCCCTGCTAGTCCTGCTGCTGCTCTGACCCCTCTTGCCCGTAGATCTATTATGGCTCGAGGGCCCCCCCTTTGCTGCTACGCAGACACAAATACATTTGCCCGCGAGACGGTCTTGGAAAAGATACACGATTGTCACCAGCGCCTGCGTGTGCGCTGCATTGGCAGCGGAGCGTGTTCCGAGCTCCCTCGCAACGAGCCGCCTTTCGGCGACGACAGCTACCTGCTGGACACTCCCGTGCTGAGTCGGACAGATTCCGACCCGTTCTTGATTCAGATTCAGAGTGTATCGCACGACGGCTGCCCGGGGGACTGGCGCCGCCCAGGGTGCTCGAGGCCTCGATGAGGCCCCAGGCCGCCGTCGCTACCGTGGCCAGCACTGTGGACGAGCAGAGGATCGTCCCGCCGAGCCGGAACAGGCTCCAGGACAATAGGCGGAGTCAGGCCAAGACCATGAGGATTGGCCAGAGGAGGATCAGGAATACGAGTGGCACGATGAGGCTCCGTCGAAAGTTCGACCAAACTCAGCAGAGTTTCACGCACTGGTCGAGGATAATGAAGAAGTGGAGAGGTGGACCTTGCCCGACGCCGCCTCCGCTCGAGGCGAAGTTCCGCGATATTGTCATCAGTGGGTTCGCAAAGTGCAGATGTGGAAGGCCAGGGCGCGACAGTAAACTGCTGGCCGAGCTTGCCCTGGATCTGTCGGTCGTCATCACGAGCGAGGGCGCCGAGATGATAGAGGACACATAAATACTCGCAGGGCGGAATCCAGTTGATTCTTGATTCCCTTTCCGTGTTCGACGAACAGCAGATCCTGCAGGTTGGCGACCTTATGGAGGGATACGAAGAGGTGGAGCGGTTGCCAGGCGAGCTTCTCGCCGCCTCTGCGGTTCATTCAAAGGATTTGGAGATGAGGTTGAGGCGAGCCGAGCTGCCGGCCCGACGTGGACGACTTCGAGCTTTCATGCTGCTGAGGAGTGCTTGTCTTTCTCCAGAGGTCGAGCGCAAACTGCTGCTGGCAACTGGCAGTGAGTGTACGATTTCGACCGAATCGTCCAGGCAATGAGCGTGCAGTGGCCCTCGACAGCTCCGGACTGGGTGGCTCCAGCCCGGCGAGCGGCACGAAAGCGCCCGGGCGCGCCTGCTCCGGGGGGGCGCCGACGTGAGCGAGACGCCAAATGCAGAGGCACAGGGCGCCAACCTCGGCTTCAAAAGCACAAGAGATTTGCCACATTTCTGAAATTCGGTGCCACCCCTCACGCAGATCCGCGGGGTCAGGGTCCAAAAACACAAGAGATTTGCCACATTTCTGAAATGCGGTGCCACCCCTTCACACAGATCCGCGCCTCGCGTCGGAAAAGCCGACGTAGGCGACGCCGATGAGGATTGGCCTGCGGGCGAGAACGAGATCGACCCAGCAGGCGCGCACCAAGCAGACAGCGAGCACGAGGAACCCGACCCTGGAGATGAGAGGATGCGTCTGCTGCAGACATCGCAGAGCGCGAGACCGTGGTGACGCACCTCTCGCGCGACGAGCTGCAGCAGGGGATGGCCGCCTTCAAGAGCGGGGTGGCCGGTGGACCACAGGGCCCCCTTGCGCGTTTTGCAGATGCGCCTGAAGCGCGACAGTTTTCGGCCGACCCTCGCGAGCCGCGAGCGGCGAGGTCGGAGACGCCAGATTCTCGAGAGCCGCAGGCGTCGAGAGCATAGTCAAAAAAATGCTGTAGATGTCACCTGGCATGTTCGCACCCCTCTGGACGTTTGTTTCATAGAGTGCCCCCCCGGAGATTTTTCATCGTCGTCGACGCGGGATGCCAGCGCAACGTCGCGGGATACGAGTGTCTCGGGAAGCTCTTGGAGCACATTGCGGGTTCTGGTTCAGTTTTTGGGAGGCAGCTGAACAGGAGAGGCTTCGGTTCGGAAGCAGCAGGGCCGCGAGCAAGTCTGTGGTGCCACTAGTATGCCAGACCTCGGTGCCTGACGAGAGCCCGAGAATGCTCTTCTTGGCGCCCCTACCTTTGCGGAAGCTCTCGGGCCTCCAGCGGGGCATTTCGGGGGGGAGGGCCCACGTCGCAAAGATTAACCTGCGCGACATGCCCCTCGAGATTGCCCCGAGTGGCCGCCTACATCTGAGGATCGACTCCCAGTTGAAGGGCGCGGGGTTCCCTCGGAAGAGCCCGAGGCCTGGAAGTCTGCCCGCTCGGACGTCGCCGTCGCCCCCCCAGGGCCCCGGCGGGGCCCCGCTGGGCCTGCGTCGCTCTCCGGCGACAGCTTTGCTCAAGTTGGTGCTCGACCTATGTAGTTTTCACGTTCCGCGCTGCGCGCGCTCGCATATGCAAGCCCCGGGCTGCCCCGGTTGCGCAAGGGGCCGCCCTCGGGGGCCGAGTGCGTCAACGTGGCCTTCGACAACTTGCCGATCGAGGTCCCCTGCTCCGCTGGACCTTCGACGCCGCAGCGCTCGCCGGCGTCTCGGGGTGCGACGATGCTGGAGGAGCGTGTCGCCAAGAAGGGGGTGCCGCTGACGAAGAGCTATCTGGCGATCCGGGCATGGGGGCCGTCGACGAAGGTGATCTTGGGTCATTTGCCACGCCTCGTCGGGCGCAGTCGTGACCAGATATGCCAGAGCCTCGAGATGTCCACGCGCATGTCAGGACATGTTGCTCAGCTGTGCCATTCCCTGGGCGACCTGACTCCTATGGCGGACGCAAGGGGCGCCGTGTCCGGTGCCGGGCGCGCGGCCGCCGCTGGAAGTCAGTCAACGAGAAGTGGGTAGTGGGCGACCGCGAAGATCTACCACGCGCGCCTACCTCGACAAAGTCACAGGTTTCCTTCTCGCGCTCTCAGCCAGCTGCTTCTACAACTCCGAGCCGCCGACCCAAATCATCCGCGGGCTCCAGTCGGGGAGTCGCGGCCTTTTCCCGGTCAGGACGGCTCGGGAATCTCTGGCCAAGGCGAAGTCGGGGACCGGAACGGACCAGGAGGTGCCGACGGACGACGAGGAGATGAACAGCTCCGCCCAATCGCCCACCTCGCAAGGGCCCTATCTGGTGAAGAAAGGATGCTTGGAAGCGCCTGCTTGGAATTGCCGAGGAGACGACGGCGGCCTGCGAGGCGCTGTTCAACGTAAATAGCGATGCCGATTTCCGCGCTGTCGACCTTCGTGAGCAAGAGACGCGCTGCGCGGATGTGGCCAACATGGGCACCCCGATGACCGAGCCCCTGGAGCGCGAGTGCTACTTCGACGAGTTCCAAGCGCGCGGCGCCGACTTGATGGAAGGCTGCGCTCGTGCTGCCCGACCCGCAAACCATGATGCCCAGTTCGAGCTCCGGGCATCGCCGGGCGCTGCCAAGGAAGGCGGCTGGGACTTTTCTATTCCGGAGGGTTCTCGGCGTTGGAAGGCGCAAGCTATCGTGGACAAGCCGTTGGTGGTGGTGATTGGATTTCCCTGCGTTGCGTGGCGTTCGTACAGCGTGAACGTCAAGTACTTAGACTGCCCAGAGTTGCTGGAGAAGCCTCGAGCCCGTGACCGTAAACTGATCTGCATCATGAAGTGGACCATCGACGGCCAGTTCAAGCGCGGCAGGTTCTTCTCGTCCGAGAAGCCGCCGACCTCGTCAATTTGGAGCGATGCCCAGTTCTGCCCGCCCCTTAAGTGGGGCCAGACAACAATCGGACGCGGATGCCAGCATGGTAAGACTGGCAAGACAGGGCTACCGATTCTGAAAGCCTTCCGCCGGTACTCCAACGCGCCGCAGCTGCTCGCCGCTTTGAGTCGCCGATGCCCAGGACTTCGGCCAGAGTCCGGAGGCCGCGTCCACGACTCGATCGAGAACGCCAAGAGGACGAAGGCCAGCGGTGAGTACACAGACGAGATGGCCTGCGCAATACTGCGCGCGATCCAGCATAGGGCGGCCCAGATGCAGCCGAGTCGCTTTGCAGACCTTCCAGTCGCAGCTACCGAGTGGGAAGTATTATTCTCCTACATCGGGCTTATCGACGTGCCATGCGCGGCCCCGCCCAAGGACCAGTCGAAGCAGGGCGAGGTCTTCCAGGGCGCGCGGCAGGTCGTCGGAGGAGCGGCCAATCGAGGAGGCGCCAAGGCGACCCACTACCTGACCTAGTCTTCGACGTTGTGGAGACAGATCACCCAGCTCGTGCCTTGGGACCTCACGATGATGCAGGTGGTCAAGACGGCAAAACAGAGGAAGTTTCCCATGAACACGGGGCCGTGGTCTCATCGAGGACATTGTTATCTCGACGACAAGGGTCAGTGCCACGCCGCGTCGGAGGACCTCTCCGACATTGCTTCCCCGACCTTGCCGCTGACCCCGCTGGCCGAGCTGGCTTTTTTTTTGTCTTCGGAAATGCCCTGCGGGGACCCATCGCGCGGGGGCCCGATGCATCGGATATCGACGGGCGCGCGCCGCCTCCTCCGAACCCGAACGACCCCGCGCTGCCGAACAGTAGTCTGCCTGCCGAGGACGAGGGCGACCTTCAGGACGTTCCCATCGCGACGGTGCCCGACGCGTCTGGTGGGATGGCCGGCGTGCGTTTCGCGGGCGTGACCAAAAAGCAATGCCCGCGGGAAGTTTGTCAGCTGGTGGCTCGTGCGCGCCGCAACTTTGGGCGCCCTGGTGCCGGCGAGTTCTGTCGCAGAGAGGCGCCTCGCAGGCCGCTCTACTATGTGCCCGAGCTCTTCGCTGTCCAGCTCGCCTCCGGCGAAAGCGACCTCAGCGACGACGAGAGGCTCAGTTTCCACGAGTGGGCCTCTGTAGCGGTTTGGTAGAGGCCGACCTCTTCTACGTCATGACCCACGACGGAACCGCCCATGGATTGCTAGGCCTGGTGGACAAGGCTACTCGATTGCACGTGGTTTGCCGAGTCGCCTCGCGTGAGCCAGAATCAGCGTGGGAAAAGTTTCAAATGTGCTGGCTCACGCCGTTTGGGATTGCGCAGATATTGGTTGTCGATCGAGATGGAGCCTTCGAGGCTCGTTCCTCGACGACTGCAACGCTCTCGGGGTCGACGCGAGGTGCGCGCCACCCGGGGCGCACTGGCACTTGGGCTTCGCCGAATCCGGCAACTACGCCTAGCGCCGCGTCTTCGAGAAGGTCATCGACGCCATCCTGCTGGTCGCTCCAGAGCACCTGGGCTTGGCGATCATCTCAACAAACCACGCTGTCAATCAGTCTGCGCGCCGAGCCAGCCGCGCCGCATATGCTGCCGTTTTCGGGCGAGTGCCAGCGCTGCCTACCGAGCTCCCTGAGCACCGGCACAACGTCACGCAGGAGATGCTGGCCTGCGGAGAGCGGCATCGAGGCGCTGAGGGCGATCGCCGACCTGGAAGCCGACGAAGCACTGCGCGCGTCTATCCTGCGACAGTCGGTCAACCGCAAGGAGTGCGACTCCCTGGCTGGTCAACGCGTTGCCGCGTGGGGTGAGCATGGGCGGAGGAGACGTGGCAGTTTGGCGATCTCAGGGCCCTGCCCCGCCATCTTCTGCTTCTAGGATTCTGGCACCAACGGTTGCGGCGAAGGTGAATCGGCATGGCTTCGGATCGGACATCGGACTGTCCAAGTAGCTCGAGAGCTCGAGAGCACATCCGACCTGCCATCGGCTTCGAGGGTCGGGCGCCTGGCGAGGATGACCTCGAGCAGCTGGAGAAGGCCGAGCAGGACTTGGCCGCCGCCGGGAACGGCGACGATTCCGGGATAGACGCGGAGACGCCTCCAGAAGGACCCATAGCCAGAATATCCGCAAGCACGTGCACTACCAGGGCTGCCGGAACAGGCAGCGCCACTTGAGCCCATTCAGGAAGAGCCGATCGTGGCGACTCTTGGCGACAACGCGACCAAAGAGAACTTCGGGGGCGCGTCTGACGCTCGCGCCCCCACACTTGCGCTACCTGCTAGGTTTCGGGAACCTGTCGCAACAGGGCCGCCCGCATGGGGCGACGGGTCTGCTGCCGCTGCTGCCCCGGCTGCGCCGCAGCCCAGACAGAGGGCGCCAACGCCGCAGACAACCTCTCCAGACGTGAGAAGCGCCAGCTGGATCGAGAGATCCCGCGGCGGGAGATCGCAGACTACCCGGAGGAGAAGTCCCATGGAGTACGTGAAGGCGCTGCGTCAGGAGTGCCAGAACTGGGGCGACTGGAAGTCGGTGCGGGCCTGCTCTCAAGAAGAAGCTGATCGCGCCCGACGAGATCCGCATCTACGTGGGCGTTGTATTCGCTCACGCGTGTGCTACCGCGACAAGAACCTAGGATTTCCCCTGCTGATGGCCCACGCCCGACCAGTGCCGCTGGAATTCCCGGACCCGGACCTCGAGGGATTGCCTCGCAACGTTCTGGTGTTGACCGACGCCGGCGAGACATTGATCTGCCATATTGCTGCGTCACAGCGCTGGCAGGCAGGTGCTGGCGACGCTTAGAGCGCTTTCCTTCGAGGCGGAGCTCGGCGTGAAAGTGCGGAACCCATCAGCATGGTTCCACCAGAGGAGCCAGTTGCTCATGCAGCTGGAGTGTTCACAGCCCCCCTTGCACGAGGTAGCTGGGGAACTTTACGGTCAGTTCACGCCGCCGCACTTGTTTTAGAAGCACGTGGTGGCTACGCTGCTGACATTGGGGGCCACGCTGCACAGCCTCGACTTTGCCTTGTTCTTATGGTGCACCCCTAGCGGCGAGTTGGGTTGTGTCGTGGGAACGCACGTCGGCGACGCACTGGCGACGCACCGCCCAGACTTCGATTCCCCCCGATCGAGGAGGCGATCCGTTGGCGAGGCTGGCAGTGTAATGACTTCGTGTTTCTTGGTGCACAATGCCATCGTCAGACTTCTGGGAAATATGCGGGAAGCTAGTTTAGTCGCCAGGCGGGCTACGCCAAGGCGATTGCCGTGGCGAAGATGGGAGCTATGTCAAGTTCGATGGCTTCTCCGAAGTTGACGCGCTCTGAACGAGAGGATCTGGAGTCAGCTGTGGGTTCGCTTCAGTGACTTTCAGGACACGCGCAACCAGACCTTTCGGCTTCAGTTTTCTTGATCCAGAAGGCCGACCCTGAGCTCAACGACCTGCGCCAGGCCTTGGAAGCATGTGGAGTATACTCATCGCGCGCCAGACACGGGCTTGCTGGTGGTTGCTATCGCCTTGGTTTAGGCCTGGTTTGCGAGTTTCGCTGGCAGTTGTTGGGCGAGCGCTTCGGGACTGAAGACGCATATTGGGGTCTTGGTTTTTCTTGCAGATCAATCGATCTTGGAGGGACCTGCCTCTGGCGCATTTCTGTTCCATGAGTCCAAGAGGACTCCTAGAGCTGCGCGCTCAACCCTCGCAGGCGAAGCCATTGCTCAGGACCTGGGAGTGGACCATGCCTCGTACTTGTCAGAATTCATGTCCGAGATGCCCACCGGGGCGCCGGCTGGGCGACGCCAGCGGATCTCCGAGGTGATCACGGTGACCGACTGCAAGTCCCTATGCGATGCGCTGCGCCAGCTCGCTCCAAGTTTGTCCGAGAAGAGGACAGTGAGTGACGTGATTTCTATCAGAGATGAGGTTTCAGTCAAGGATGTGCGGTGGATCCCCACGACACGCATGATTGCAGATGGGCCGACCAAGGAGGATGCGAAGCTACGCAAGACGCGTACCAAGTTCCTGGCCGACCCTGTTGTCTCGCTGGTGGAATCGATTTCGTGTGAAGAGTTGAATGATGAATACGGTCTCCACCAACGCAAGTGGTTGATCGTTTCGCTCCCATCCGCTTGGTTTTGCCCAATATGCTGAGTTCTCAGATTAGTTTCATATCATATCAGTCGTTTCGCGACTCGAGGCGATTCTTGTCATACCGGTATTGTATTTCCCATCTCTGTCGCTTCGCGACCGTGTTTTACGTCGTGCCCGCAGGCTGGTGACAAGTATCCCGGGAGTGCAATAATCATCATGTTCATGTGTATTTTCTGATCCTTGCTAGTGCTGCTGCTGCTCTGACCCCTCTTGCCCGTTAATACATGATGGCTCAATGGGGGGCCCCTTAGCTGCTACGCAGACACAAGTACATTTGCCCGCGAGACGGTTTGGGAAAACATACACGATTGTCACCAGCGCCTGCGTGTGCGCTGCAGTCAGATATGGCGCGAGCGCGCCTAGGTTGTCCTTCCCCCCTCTCCCCCTTCCCCTTCCCCCTCCCCCTCCCCCCCCCCCCCGTCCACGCCTACCTCCCGCCCCTCGCCACCGCCGCCGTCGCGCGTCTCCCGCCGCCGCCGGCGTCGGCGTCGCGTTTGCCTCGCCGCCGCCGTTGTCGCGGACCTCCTCTTGCCGCCGCCGAGCGGCGGCTGGCGCCTCCTCTGCGCAACTGCGACCTTGGTCTGGCGACGTCGGCAACGTCGGCGACGTCGGCGAGCGGCGCCGCCCATCGCCGCGGCGCCGCCCCGCGCTGCCCAGCAGGGCGCCGCGCCCTGCGGGACCTGCTGGCGGCCGGCGCGGGCGGGGCGCGGAGCGCCGCGCTGGCGGGGCGGTGCGCGGAGGAGTCGGAGCGGGTGCGGGAGGACCCGTCCGCTCCGCGAAGGTTCAGCGGGCGAAGGGTGCTATAACATAAACAGTTCCGCCGTGGCGCCGCAGGGGCATCGACTCTGCAGCCGCCGGGGTGGCGGGCGTCCCCGACGGCGGAGCAGTTTATTTGGTACCGTTCTTAGCCATCTAAAAAGTCGGGTGGGGAGACTGATTTTTGGCGGCGGGCGAGGGGGGAAGTGAGAAGGAGAAGGCCTTCTCGGAGGGCGGCGGGGCTTCTCAGAGGCCCTCGCGCCCTCTGAGAGGCGTTTCATGTGTCCTCGGGGAAGGCTGAGACAACCTCTCAGAAGGCCATGGGACTTCCGAGCCTTCTGAGAAGGCTCGCCCCTTCTCACTTCCCCCCCGGGTTCGCCGCCGAGGGACTGCTTCTGGGGCAGCGGTAAAGGGGATGTGTAAAGAGGGGGATGCATCGACCCCCAATCCCCCAGTGATCGCCGAAAGGGGCCCGATAACCCCAACCTGCCCAGGAACGAGTGGGAGGAGTTGGAGGAGAAGGAGGAGGAGGAGGAG